AAACCTTTTTTCTTTTTTTTTAATGTATGCGTGTATTGACTGCATGTAGGTAAGTGCACCCCTGCCATGCAATGCCTGCGGAGGAAAGAAGAGGCTGTCAGATCTTCTGGAACTGGAGTTATGGACAATTGTTAGCTGCCATGTGGGTGCTGGGATTCGAATCTGGGTCTTCTGAAAGAGCAGTCAGTGTTCTTAACTGCTGAGCCATCTCTCCAGGCCCTACAGTTTAAACTTTGAAGTTAATATCCATGATAACCCCCTTGAGCATCCAGGATGCGTAATAGCTTTGTTTTTTGGTTCCAGAAAACTGATGCACAAGTGAGCTGATTAAACTGTGTGCCACTCTTGAGAAAGGCAGTATTTTGATTTTTTAACCCTTGTGAGGCAATGTGTTTGTCAATTATATTACTCTGAGAAATTACACATTAGAACTGAGATGCTATATTCAAGCTAAATATTCATTAAAACTAAGATCTGTCTTCACCAGCAGCTCTGCTGCCTCAGCAGTACAATGAAGCAATGGAGAGGCTCAAAACAACAGGCAGCCAATGATTAACGCAGACACATATACAAGCTAGATTTCCACCTGTTCTCTCACACACTGTGAAGTAGCACCCCCACCTCCCCAGCCCCAATTGCCAACGGCAGGCTATATAATGAACCATCTGTACCATATCAACAAGAGCCAATGATGGGCTGATAATACCAAAGAAATCTGATTTTTAAATTATTTTCCCCTCCATGAATTGGTAGCCTGAGTAACATTTTTAATTGCGTGATAAATTCAACACACTGGCAAGAACTTAACTTCGTAAAATTTGAGCTTTTTAATGCCACTTTGATGGTCTTTATGGTGAATTTCTTTGCTGCTCCTCTGTAACAGAAGGAAAAGTTGACCCCATGAACCACACCACTGGTAGGAGAAGTCTGGAGCTATGTAATGTTAACAGAAGAGACCAAAATCTTCTCCAGTCTCTTATGCTTTGGCTGAACTATTCAATTATGCCTTTTCAAGGGTGAGCTGAAATGCAGATCTCACTGTGGGCCTTGGAATAGTCAGATTAATGAATAACTTAAAAGGAGGAGCCATGTTTAAATATTTTATTTAGTATTTTTATTTTATGTGTATGTGTGCATTGCCTGTGTGTAGGTAAGTGCACCCGTGTCGTGCAATGCCTGCGGAGGACAGAAGAGACTGTCAGATCCCCTGGAACTAGAGTTATGGACAGTTGTTAGCTGCCATGTGGGTGCTGGTATTCGAACCCGAGTCTTCTGCAAGAACAGTCAGTGTTCTTAACCGCTGAACCATCTCTCTAGCCCTGTCCCCCCTCTCCCCCCGCCCCTGGTCTTTTTGAGACAGGGTCCCCCTGGAACGAGTTATGGACAGTTGTTAGCTGCCATGTGGGTGCTGGTATTCGAACCTGGGTCTTCTGTAAGAACAGTCAGTGTTCTTATCCGCTGAATCACTTCTCCAGCCCTGGGGGGAGCCATTTGTAAAAGAGGAAGGTGTGATATCCTCTCTTTTTCCTGCTGAAATGTTAAGAGTACTCATCAGAGAAACATTTGCTCCTGAACCAACTGCCATCAAACTTTTATAAAAGTCACCTGATTTGTATCTCACCAAGTGTCTGATGTGTCAGCTCAACTAAAGTGCTTATTAATGATTATCACGAGCATGGTGTTTTGCTAACTACTTTTTGTTTATTATAACCAAAGATATTCCTCTTATCTTGCTGAACATGGTAAGTACAACAGACTTCTGCTTGAAAGTCCTATATTTCAATGAACTTTTTGAAGGATGACAAAGTTATAGATTATAGTAATTTTTCCATTACCCTCACAGAATAAAATTTCTCTGTAACTTAGCTACATTTCATTTTTTTTTTCAATTACATATAGCGGTTCCTCCTGGTCTTGACAGTTCAAGAGCAACTTATCTACTTAATAATGCTTATATACAAGGTAACTGCAGAGGACAAAAATGCATGTGTGAGCTCTACTTCTCCTTAAACTCAAAAAAGTATGAAAACCTACCTGAAAAATAAAGTCTGTCAGTGGCCTCACCTCCTATTAAGGTCCTTCCTCCCATCAAGGTGATCTCTCTATCCTACCTTACACTTAACTACCCTCATGCATTCTGTTATAGAGTCAGCCAGTAATTTTGGAAATCTGCCCTAAGAGTAACAGGAAATAAGTTATGATATCACTCATAGAGCTTATTGTTTTACCATAAACTTTAGCAAGTAAGCACTGGCCCACAGTACAGTATGGAAAGTACTCACAAAAGGAGCATTAAAGATGTGACAGGGAAGTACCACACAGTAAGGCCAAACCCCAGAGTATACGTGAGTTTGAAATAGGCTGGGGAGAGGAAAGGGAAGCGAGGAAGCTCACTAGAATAATAACTAAATTTTACTTAAACGTCAAAGAGAACTTAGCCAAAGAAAGATGACACACCATGGGCAAAAGGAATGTGTGTATGAACACTGCAAATCACAGTACTAGAAATAACACTGGAAGAAGAAGGTATCCTATCCCACTCAAGATGTGTCAGTTACTGTGTAAGCATTGATCAAAGCCCATGTGTCATAGCCTCCTCACAGGGCAGCTATTATTATTTCTTATACCATTTGGAGAAAAGAAAACAAATGCACAGAGAATCAGTAACGTGCCCAAGGTTGTTTAGCTAGTAATGGGGAAATAGGTTTTTTGATGTGGGTGGTCTGGGCCCATAGGCGGCTACTCTGCCTTGCCAGTTATACTGTCTGTTAAGAGATAATGAACCACAGAGGTGAAACTAAAATTCACTCCACAAGGTTAAAACACAGAATGCTCACTATTCTTAGTGTCTAACAAAAAGCATGTGGCACCAGTGATTCATCATATTGGCTAATAACACTTGAATCTGAGTGAGAGACAGGTGGTATTGCTGCCCCATTGATTACACGGTTTTACCTTTTTATCTGAAAGTGTCAAATGAAAGGTTTCGCTGCAGTGCAGGAGCTGTTAGAGGAGGAGGCTGTGTGTCTGGGGACAGACTCTATATAGGAGCTCTACAATTTCTACTCAGTTTTGGAGTAAACCTAAAACTACTCTTTGAAATATTTATTAATTTCTTTAAAAGTGAATGGTCAGGAATAAACTTTAGGAAGACTTGTAACTTTTAAAGGAATTTAATATAAGGCAGATATAGAAAAATTATGGAGGCAAACTTAAACTACTAAACACAGAACAGAAAAAAAAAAAAAGTATACTAAGAAAGAATGCTAAACTAGCCCTAAGTAACCTACTATAGCCCAACACAACAGCTTACATATGACCCAACTCCTGCAAACACATGTGTTCTCTGTTAACGTCATGCCCTTCAACACTTTGCAACCCACCTTCTTGTCTTGTGAGGCAGGTACCCTCTAGAGCTTGGGTCAGCATCTTCTTTACTTGCTGCCTGACCACAGAAGTGGTCACTTCTGCATTTGCTCACAGTCCTAACTACTATGTACTCCTCCGCAGGATATTGTAACTTTCCAGAATTGTAACACTTTGATATTAGATTAAGTGTTATTATGCTAATCTCTTTTCCTAACACACAGCACATTTCTAGGCTTTTACTCTGACTACAGTATGTATGCGCTTTGGGATTATTACTGTGATGTAAATATGACCATCTTTGGAAAAATTTACACATTATTATATAGAAGGAGATAGGATGACTAGACAATAGTCTTAAAACCTAAAAAGACAGAATGGTTATTTCACAGTATTCTGAGGAAGAACTATAATGAGTCTGACCAACTAAGTAATTGTGCTGGCTAGTCACTGCAAAATGCTCCAATATTTCCTGTGCATTAAAGGTGGTAAAAGTGTCCTCTTATAGAAAACAATATACTGCTGTGAGTGGTAATGCATGCCTTTAATCACAACACTATGGGAGGCAGAGGCAGACAGTCTGGTCTACATAGAGAATTCCAGGCCAGCTGGGGCTACAGGAAGACCCTGTCTCAATAAGAATAGAGATAGGTAGATAGACAGACTGACAGACATATGATAGATATACTATCTGCATATGACTTATACATACCCTCTCGTTACTTGAAATCATCTTTACATAATACCGAATACAATGTAAATGATATATAAATAGCTGCCCTGTTGTAGTACATAGGAAACAGTGACAAATTCATGTACCTGCTCAGTACAGATGCAACTGTACAGAGAACTCATAGGCATAGGGGCTAACTGTGGGTATACATGCCTCACTTTCTTACCTGGATCTTAAGGCTCTATCTTTAATTTCTCTGTACCTGACTTTCATTTCTTCCAAACTTAACATACCCTCACAAATCCTTCTTGATAGATTACTTTTCCTGTGGTTAGCATTTATTTTTGACACAGAAGTAAAAGTTATTGCCTTGTTTTTTTTTTAATTTTATTCACCATTTATTTTAGAAGTTTTTTTTAATATTTTATTTATTATTTTTATTTTATGTGTATGAGTATATTGCCTGTGTGTATGTGAGTTTAAATCTCTTTAGTAACTGCAGATGGGTATTATTTTATGATGAAGTTATAATTAAACCAAACAATTCAGATACATCCATCTACTCTGTACATAATGATGGAGGCTCAGCTTGCCCTTCTACACTTGCCATATTCCAGAAGCTTTCAAAAATAGTAAGTGAAGGGACAAAAACAGTGGCCACCAGAGAAGGCTGGACACCTACTGGACTGTGACTGGACTCATCCTTGACCTACACAATAGGTGAGCTCATCTTTTCTGCTTAGAATTCCCATGAATGGCATCACATCTCCTGAAGTCATAATATTAGTTTTAGAAGATTGACAGCAGATGTTAGGAAATAATCGAAGAAATAGACATTGAGACTTTAAAAGTTTGTTACCTATGAAGAATTCTGTGAATGCAGAACATAAACTCGGATGGTGTAAGCATTTCAGGATGTCCTCCAGAACACTGATTTTTCTGGAGAAGTCCAATCACCTACCTTGAAGTTCTCCACTGCGACTATAGAGCTCTCTTCTCTGTTCTCGCAGATAGGCGCTCATGCTGATAGCGTGAGAAGACGATTCAAACCTGCAATGCAAGGCACGGTGACCACATGGTTAAGCCACAAAGGTGGCGACCATCTATGCACTCATTATAATATTTATTCTGGTCTGCATAGTGTTCCTGGTGTGGCACAATTACAATATTTTGGCTACACCTTGATTTAATAGTATTCCTAGCCAGTGTTCCTCTGAAGTACTATTTGGATCTTTCTCTTACTGCCCATTTCACCTGAACAGCTCACCTACCTCTACTCTCTTACCTTCAGATCACATAATCATTTGCTACTTACACAACAACAAGTGTATCCTATAAAGCCATTCTAATTATGCTATTATCCAAATCAAAAAACATCACTGACTGCCAGCTGCCTCTATAGATACACCAACTCCTCAGAGCAGATCTCTTCCTGAATTTTGAGTTAAAAGGCTAGTGAAAAGAGAATTCTAGAAATGATGTTGAATAATGACCTCAAAGAAGCAAGATATCATTGGTCTCTCTCTAAATGTCCTAAACCTACTGCTTCCAAATGGCTGTAAGTTTTTGATCTGCCACATATGACCACATAGAACACTCTACAAGAAATGTTTTCAAAGTCAGAAACAGGGGAGATAGATGCATGGTAAAGAATGGGTCTCTAGAAGCTGAAACAATGAACACAAAACAAATCAGTCATTTATAGGTAAGGAAAAAAACAAAATTATGACTATATCAAACAGCAAATCCTTTGATGTGTTAAGAGACTCCATTTCAAATGTGAGATTTTCAAAGCCAGGATAAGTAGTGACAAAGGAAGGCATCCTTCTAAGATTTCTTGCACTAAAGAGTAAACAACATAAGGAAAGAGAGGCAGAATCCATGGGATAGGAAGCTGGCACCGAGAAAGAAGCAACATTTTCTTATTCATGTCTCCTTTATCCAATCCTTAACAAAGAGGATGAATACCAGGACGAGTGCCAACCTGTAAAGGAAGTACTTGAGTTACTCGATCCTTTCTCTGCACCCTACCAAGAACTAAGAGGCAGGAACAGCTGGAAGAAGACAAAGTGTGCAGTACTTCAAAAGTGCCACCTGCCAGTCAAGTGCAGAAAAGAAGCTACTGACCTCCAAAAAGCATGCTGACAGCTATTGATCAGAGATGTCAAAGGAAAAAATAAACTCTCAAGCAAAGAATAGAGATGCACGCATACAATAAGAGAGAACTTAAACACAATTAACCTTGGCTAAGGGCAATTAAAGAGGGTGATAGAGTCGTTCACAAATGTGATAGAACAGATTATAGCTCTCCACAATCTGAATCCTTTAAGACTTAAACTTTTGCTATTCAGAAATTCTTTTTTATGTTTGCAACAAGTCACAGATTGAGACAATTTTATAGTAAAAGAGACATGAGAGATTCTTCCACTCACCTTATTTTATAGCCAAAGGCACTGAGGCCAGCTAAGACAAGAGACCTACTCAGGCTGCATGGCTCATTAATAGCAGAACTAACTCTAGAAGTCAGCAGATCCTAATTCTGTTGACAATGGATTTTATTACTGTCCAATAATAACATATGTAACAATATTAAATTTTAAAAATTCTAACAATTAAGGATTTTTTATTCCCCTCCCCCAATACCACAATTTAGTCAGTAATAAATATTTAGACATGCTTGTGTGGTCTGAAGTTGAACGTAACATTTGAAAACTTTGAAGCCTGCTTCCTGTAATAAACCTAGACCTAGATAACTGAGGTCTTCAAAAAAGTGGGAGGGGGGGAAAGGAGAGAGGTGACAGAGGAAAAGGAATTGGGAGGGAAGAGGGAAAGAGAGGAGATAGAGACAGAGAAACTGACTTAAGAAACAGTTATATGCATCCAAGATATGAATGGAAATGTACCTAAGTGTCTTAAGAATAGTTACATATATATGATTTTTGTGATTTGGGAAGTTATATTACTTAAAGGATAGAATATACAATCAGGTTCAAAGATTAAGTATATTTTTACAACTAAGTTTAAAAATTAAATTTAAATATATTATTATTTTCCTCTTTTTCAAATTGTTTCCTTTTGTAAATGAGATGTGTGGTAGTTTACGAAATTTACCATTCAAGTTTAGGGGCAAGAATGGAATATAAATGTAATTAAGAGGCACAGGAACACTGCCCTAAGTAAGCATGGTTCTATGTTATCTATGGATTTTTTTCAAAACACATTTTTATTGAATTTTTGTGTATTTCATACAATACATCTTAATGATATTTAGACCCCCTCTCCCATCTTCTCCCCCCATAGCCCCCATCCTATGTTATTTTTCATATCCTTATTTGAACATCTCTTAGAAAAGGAAAAATTGTCTCTGTAGGCTATCTTGACTTTGTCAGCTATGTTAAAGTTTTTGATCCTAGCCAGCTGGAGACACAAACTACATTCCAGGGTTGGAGGCTTATTTCCCCTTCTTATTCCTCCTTCTCCTCCTCTCCCCTGTCTTTCTATCCTACTTCACTGTACTTCATAGTTATATGACTTTCCATAATTTACTTATCTCTCTTGTGTCTCAATCTTTGCCTGCTGAGGTCTTTCATGTGTATACAGGAGGACTAGAAAGAGAAGCCTTGTCTAAGTGGGTTAGAAAAACAAATGAGGCAATCCGCGGAAATAGTTCAATGTCTCAGCTAGCATTTACTAAAGACTCAAAGTTAGCTACTACTGCTACTGAAATTTGTTAATAACCAAATTAAATTTTTTAACTGGAATCATTTTGATAAGCTCACCTTAACATTATAAAGTATTAGCTGTGAGCCCATTGCCTGGTAGGGTTAACTAAAGAGTAATTTAGAAAAAAACAAAACAAAACAAAAAACCCTGAATTGTTCCTTTATAAAACATCTAACCACGTAAAGCCTAATACTGCTTAACTAAGGAGATTTACGTAACTTTATCACCAAAGGTTTTTTCTTAGCACTTGGGGCTTTTCAAAGCTGACATATTTCAGTTCCTTTCATTTCATATAAAATTCTCTAGAAATACCTGGGGAGTTTCGCTTTCCTTGATTTTATATAAAACTCCCTAAAAACAAGTCTAAGAAATTTTATTGAGTTATAAAAAGTACAATAGCCATATTTCAAGAGTCACTTCATTTCACTAGAAGACAAGAGTAAACAAAGTGAATATATTCACTCCTACAAATTGCGTCAAATCAGCTTCACTAGTGAAAGGAATGGCTCAGGATAAAGTAGAAGGCCATCCCACTTGGATCGGACTCTGGACCCTTTGCTCTCTCACCAATAGAGTGATAGCTTACTTGAAAAGAGAATTCTTTGGCCTTTGTGGCTTCTTCTTGGCAAAGAAAGCTGCAAACTCCCGTCCAGTGCTGGCATAGCTTAGTTGAGCTGATGGTTCTGACGCTGTGCGTGTGTTTTTCATATCCAAGTACTCAGTCAACAGCATCTGTACAACCAGATAGACAGTTTAATTTATATATGCACTATTTTATAAACATAATTTTAAAGCCTCACCCTAGACTTTTAAAAGCATATTAACCTGGATATTCATTCTTCTAATTGGAAATATAAGGGAAGTTTCATTATAGTTCATTGGCTTACTACCTGTTCACAAGAAACAGGAGTGATGGCATTTGAACATGTCAGGTACCATGCTGAGTGAATTAGTCAAAATTCTTCTTTACTCAGCATTTAATCCTCATTATTCCAAAGTACAGTAGTATTAGCAGCAATGGTCTAATGTTTACTGAGGACTTACTGTGCTGTAGCACGGTCTAATCTATTTAGATATATTATGATACGGGGCTCAAAGAGGTTCAGGAGCTGAAAAGTAGTCCCTAATGGACTAATTCCAAAGTCCATGCTATGACCCCTCATTCTGCCGCACAGTGTAAAAGCACTCTAGCAAAGCTCCCAAAGAGTGCACAGAAAGAGGCAAAAGACACAAAGGTTTGCCAGGACTGTTAGTCATCTTGAGACAAGAAAAAAGCAACTATACTCTGTGATCAACTACTGCCAACAGGTACGACTTGCAAAATTCACTCAATTTAGAGTCACAAAGATTAAAGCCTGTGCTAGAATCAACTATAATTACTAGAATTTTAAAATGTCCCCACATTCATTGAAGAAAATACAACTCTGGAACAGAAATCACCATAGTTCCTAAGAATACCTAAGTTGGGGCTAAAGCAGTTCAACTCATTTTTAAGATCACTCACAATATTTAAGTTTTAAGATAGACATCCACGTGGGTCACACAGTGGGCAAGAAAATCTATCTATAAGTAAAGTAATTCAGAGACTCAAAGTATCAATCGACTACATATTCACTCACTATTATAGTCTATTTTAAACATTATCAATGGAAAGCTTTTCTAAAGCATCCTATGAATAGGATTCTGTATGTTTTCAAATGTATTTCTCTGCTACCAGAAGGCACATGTTACTCAGTACTTAAACATGAGACATTTTTAAAGCATTAGCCCTCTCTTGAACCTCAAATAAGTTCTTACATATAATTTTTTTATCTAAACTTTGAGATTTGTCTTATCATTGAAAAGGGTTCAAATTTCAACCTGGTTTAAGTGACTACAAACCCTAGAGCACTGAGCATGCAAACCACCTATAAGAATAGACTGACCTATAGGTGGCAGTAAATGAACTATAGTGAATTTCAGCTTTTATATAAAATTGCACTATAAAACTATAAAACAGTGTAACAGGCTAATCAATATTTTATTTATGAGGCCACCAGAGTATCATTCAGTACAGTGATTAAAATAATACAGTGACAAATATCATTTTAATGTATCACTCAGCTACCAAGTGGTCAGAGAGATACTGAGTTGAGACTCTAGAAACAATTCAGCTGAGAGACTTGACTGTATTGTTGATTTGGCAAGGTTACTAGAAAGATATTCAGCAATCTGTGATCAAAAGAAAGATAGAAAATTGAAAAAGACTTTCCAAGTGATATAGCATAGAAAGGTTTCTACCAATTCACTATGTCAGTCAAGTGTTAGTTTTAACACCAATGACAGAGAAAGGTTTTGCTGAAACATAAAGATACACTAAACCGAGTAATTCTTCTAGGGCACTTAATGTTCTAGGATGTAAAAACTGGCCTTGCACAATAAAACACTGAGTGAGGAGGGCATAACAAGCAAGCATTCCCAGAGCCCAGGCATCTTAAAGTCAGTGTTCTTTTTGTCCACATCAATAAAATCGCCTGAATTATTACCTTCCAGTACTGTTTGTCAGTGTACTTCTCTCCACCAGTTGCTATCTAGAAACACACCCTAACTTATACCTTCTCAAGAAAAGATGCAGCTTCTATCATAATCTTTAATTCCTTTTGTCTTTCCGTTCCCAAGTTTTTAAAAGTAGGCTTCACATCTATTGTTTCCTTTACCACAATGTGGTTTATTCTTGGTTTCTCTCCCACATTCCAGCCTCACGTTTGTGAGTGTATCTTTGATATTGCTTGCTACAGTCACAGTTCGCTGATCCAATCAACTTTGAAACATAAATAATTTCAGATACAAGCAATTACTCCTTCTGTTGCCTTCTTGGTTCTACATAATTTCTTACTGTCGCTTGGCACCAAGCTTAAACTCAGAACCATCTTTTGATACATCCCCTTATGCCCAGAAAGGAGTTAGTCCCTTATCCATTAATGATTCTTTCTCACGTCTCTGCTTTGTATGCTCAAGCCTGACCACTCTGCCAGCTTTGTTCATCTTCTACAGTTTTCTTTACTTAATTCTGTTTCTCTTACTCTTCCAATCCTTTCCAAACACCATCGCATACCATGTGACTTCAAAATATATTTCCAATTGTGTCTTATTTACCCCAATGTGAACCAAATACTCCAATCAAATCTACCTGCTTAAATTCTTCCCTGAATATATATGTATGTGCCTTATCATTTCTGGAATGCCTAACCTTGACGCCCCGACTCTAATGAAACCCAACGAATCCGTCCCAGAATAGCTCCAGTGTCTACTCTTCATTGAATCCTTCACAGGCCACTCTAGTCCCTTTTCTGAACCCATAAGGCACCATTTCTCATATTGTTCCATAGTCATCAAAAACTCCCTAATACTCATAGACCTTAACTGATATGTTCCTTGGAACATTATACTTTTTTATTTCTACTATAGAGCCATGCAAAATACCAGCAGAGCTGGTTCTAAAAACTGAATTGTAAAAACACATGATAAGAACCTTACTACATAGGTTGCTATGTAAGTTAAACACAGTCCCCAAAGTAGAAAGAATCCTGCAAATCAGTCTTCCGTATATATATCTGTAATCCAAGCAAAATTCAAAAGGGAGAGGTATGATTTTAGCCACAGGATAAATGGTGTTATTTGGCTTTCTCCACTGTTTCCTACTTTTTCTAAATACCATTTACAACTAGCTGGAAAATACTGCTTCTAAATCAGGGAATGTTTTATTTTGATAACTAAATTTGTAAAAGTGCACTTCTAAGTATCTAAAAAACGAACACCAACAAAAGCTTCTACTCATCAACACTTTAAATATGTTTGAATCAGATACAACAGGTCTTCTACTGCTGAACTTTGACATAAACATCAGATGCCTGATATCCAAATATAACTAGTAGCCTGGAGCCTAGCTTACTGGTAGACATATTCAATCCCCAGCATCAAAAAATAAAATAAAACAAAACCATATAATTTCACAATGATTCTCATTATAGTAGATGATGTACTATATTTTTCAAATTGCACATACATATTTTTAAACACATTTCTACAAGTTCAAATTTCCATTTTATCAAAAGCAGCAAGTCATAAATCAGAACTCTGGGACAAAGATCATTACATGTAATATAAAACATATCTATCCACAAAAATCTATATAAAATAATCCCTTATTCTTGAGGGTCTAAATTCCTTTCTATCTGAAGAATTAACTTACTTTGAACATTTAAGTAGCAGCGATTGAAATTTCTTATTGATCTACAGTTTAAAAACAAATGTCAAAGTTTCTGAGTGTTTTTTAAGTTTAACTTATAAGGCTTAAATATATTAAACTGAAGACAAGAAACACAAAGACTCATTTGTAAAAATACTTTGGAATCCAAATATTCTAGTCATATCATGATTCACTGTATTTTCTGAGGACTTATTGTGTTGAATGACACTCTGATCAAAGCAAAGATATATAATGTTTTAAAGAATATTCAACTGGGGTAGTTAGGCAACTCTTCTACTATAACATTTGATCATCAATTGCTAAGATGTTAGTCAGAGATCTCATGATGTAAATGTAGTGCTAAAATCTTAGGCTTTGTAACTCGTTTTTATACTGGAGACATCATTCTGAATGAACTCTTCATTTACCATTTAATCATATTATTGCCTAGGTGCAGCCTGTAGTTAGACTTGTGTAGTAGTCTAAAAAGTAAATATGGAATTTATAGGCTTAAAATTAACACAATGCTGGGTGGGAGAGTTGGCTCAGCAGTTAAGAGCACTGACTGCTCTTGCAGAGAACCCAGATTTGATTCCCAGCACCCACATGGTGGCTACGAACTGTCCTTAACTCCAGTTCCAGGGGAATCCGAAGCCCTCTTCTGACCTCCGTGGCATTGCACAGCACGGGTGCACTCACATGCATGCAGGCAATACACTCGTACACATAAAATAAAAATAAAAAATAAAATATTTTTTTAAAAAATTAACACAATGCTGTTTCCAGCTTCTCTAGGGTTACAACATCAACACTCACACCTGCCCAGCTATTTAATGTGGTACTATCAGTATTTCAGGAAACTTTCCACATTAAAACCTTCTCCCCAAATAAGAACTGTTCCCCAACAACAAAGAGGACGACCCTAGAGGCCACACATGCCCTGCAGTACTACCTTCTCAGACACAGCTGAGCTATCTACCAGAGGGGAGAAAAAAAATCAATCCCCTTAACAATCAGATTCTTTTTTCCAAGGACAGTAGTTAATATAAATAAGGATATATAAATTATTTGAGGTAAAAATCTTATGCTTTGTGGACAGAAATAATGTAAATCATCAACTAGAGAATGAAAAATGAATTAAGTGGCCAGAACAAAAGATTTACGGGATTCAAGCAGCCTTCCCTCTCTGTATTTCCCCATGGTTTCATGTATCTCAGATCTAGTTGTTGGTAAGGCTCTGGTCTCTCTCCTGTGATTACAAATAACTCTAACTCATTTTCCTTAGTTTTTCTTTTTGATAGAGTGAATCCATTTTTGTTCCTTCACTAAGATATCCATGAACACAAGTTACTATTTTTGTAATTTTGGTATCTCATGAGATCATAAGTAGTGGTCTGTATAGGTTTCAATTTGTATAACTATGAATCGGATTCTCCTACTAACAGCACATATTCAAAAACTTATAATAAAACCATTCTATAATTGTCCTCCTTAATGAGTCTGA